CAAACCCGTAGCTGATGAGAGTCAGAGTGGTTCAATTCCACCTTCTGGGCGTAACCTGCAACTCTCTGCTCTTCTGAAAATATGATAAACATTTGAAACATTTTGTTTAGTTATATTTTATTTTAAACTCATTTCAGATAAAAAGATTTGTAAATACAACATAATTTCAAACATATTTATTTATCCATTGATATTATTCGTTCTATTAAAGATTGTAATTGCGTTTTATAGAAACAGATTTTTACTTTTGCTCTATTAACAATCTTTCTATCAATACTCGGATTTTGAAAAGTTAATATTTTCGGTTTAAATTAATGATTATATGTTCGCCAGATATATTAATTATTTTAATTTTGATCTGTTGATTTCTGATCTAGTGATAATTTTTGAAATGTTTCATGAGAAATGTTTAATGATTATGAAGAAGAAAAAATTTTTGTTTAAATAGCAAAAATAATTATTGATTTCAATTATAAGTTATTAAATTTTTTTTCTCATCCTTGGTGTTTCAATCGATAATATTATTATAAATATATGTGATAGTTCTTGAAAGCGGATATGAGTTAAACTTTTTTAGCTAATTCTCTTTTTTTCTATAATGTTTTTTGCTTCTTGTGTTGCGATACCAGGTTTTTTTTTTTTGGCACAGTAATTCATACGAAAATCTACCCATTGAATTTTATTGTAAGAGATATTTATAAATATTTCCGAGTTAAATAATTTAAGTTTCAAATAAATGTTAAATGATAAACAGTTTTAAATTTAGTGTTTTCAGGGTAAAGTTTTTTTTTTTCTCTTTAAATTTCAGTTATGTATTTCGTCTTTGCTATGCATTTCATGTCTTCATCTTTAAGCAAATTTGCCTAGTAGTATATTAATCTACTAGGAAGGAATTACTGTTAATCTGCGAGAGTAAAACCAATTTAATTTTGAGAAGGGCTGCCGGACAATGTGTGATTCATCCCTGCAGTGTGTGTGTACACGTTATTAACCTGTGTGCTGATCATTTTATAAAAACTTTCAAAAATGCATTTAAAGAGTCCACGGTTTATTACTCGGAAATATAGTTACAAATAAACTAAGACTTGCAATTGATGAATTAAACTCTTAAACTGCATCAAGTAGTTGTAAAGTCATGGAAAAATTATAACAAATAAAATGAAGGCAGTTATTTCAACTGTTGCTTTTTTGAGTAAAGAATAAGAATTATTTTATTTAATATCAAATATGTATTTTGAACTTGCGTTTTGCCAAAAGATTATCGAGACGTTTATGATGAATTATAAAAGAAAATATATATTTCTTTTGTAATTGGATGAAGTTTATTTTATAGTATTTTGATCAAATATGTATTTTGAACTTACGTTTTGCCAAAAGATTATCGAGACGTTTATGATGAGCTATAAAAGTAAATATATATTTCTTTTATAATTGGATGAAGTTTATTTTATAGTGTGCTTTGTTTTGAAATAAAAGAATTGTGTTGTGAAACAGTAGTAATGTTTTTTTATTCCTAATTACAGTAGAGTGTAATTTGTGTTGTTATGCACAACAACTACAACTTCTACAACTTTTTAATAAATTTTCAGGATTTTAGAAAAGGGGGTCGGATAGTATGATATTTGATAAAACTTTATAAGATATAATGTGTAGAAATATTTTATAGGAAAAGTTAAGTTTTGTGAAAACAGTTGAATACATTTCAAATTTCGTTGCTTTTTATTTTTTGATATGATATCTGAAGCAATTTTCTTTTAATACCGTCTCTAAACACTGTCACTAGCTACCATCTCTAGCTTGTGACTGTTTATGTGATTGTGTTTATTACTTTAATTATGAATTTTTGGCTGAAATTTGAAAGAAGATAGTGTAAAATTATATAATAGTAAATATTTCCTTGATTGACGCAATATTTAAAATGTAGCGTTATACATCTGTGAAAAAAATTAAATCAAATCAGAAGAAGAATCCTGTTTAAATTTTCACCTGATAATGCCAAGATATTCTGTTGTGAAAACATGTTTTTTGTAAATGCATGATATAGCTTTTTCCAATTCATCAATATCAGAAACTTGACTCTCGCATCTGCTTTATTTACGTTATTTTGAAGTCCTCGATTAAAATGTTTACATGTAACACGTAGTGTGTTTTTTTACAATGTTCGTAAGGCAAAATCTATACCATCAAAGCACAAACAATGAAATTGATTCGCTTTCAAAATTCTAAGATAATAGCTTTCTCAAAATACGAATTAATGATACTCAAATTTGAATCATTAATATAAAAGACAGCTTTTAAAAGGTGTGTAAAGAATGTATTTTGTCTCCTTCTGTTGCGCAATTACAAGTTTATGCAAATTTATTGGTTTTGAAATTTAAGTATTAATCTTTTTACAACGATTGCTGATTTAGTAAAAAGTATCTTTAAATAATTATCGAATTATTCAAATTTTTTAATGTGCTCACTTAAAATTATATTTACAGTATGAAACATTGCTGATAATTTTTACGATCTTAGATGTTTTCCTGGTTTCACCCCCTGAAAAAAATTCTAAATGTGATAGGGGTTTTGTATCAAATGTTTTGTTAAATAAAATTTTGTATTCCGAAAAAATAAAGTTATGTAAGTATTTTTTCATTTAATCTCAGTTAAAAAAGAAATGGAAGGAAATTTATAGCAGTAAGCAATTTTGTTTGTTTTTAAATTATTTTCTTTATTATCACTATTATCACAAAAAAATGAGAATTTTAAGATTCAAAAAATAATTAATTTAATCTAGAATAAATTTTTTAGCTGAAATGTTAGTTTTTGGAAATAAATTATCTACAGCAATATTACAAGATTGAAAGGGAAAAAAAAAATTTTTAAACCTAAAATTGCCAATCTGTTCAAATGATAATATAACTATACAATACAATGGTTTTTATTTCTGAATATGAATAATGTATAATGATTGTAAAATTACAATTGACTCGACTAAATAAGAGATGACTAGAGTAATGACTTTTATAAAACATATTTTATAAAAATCATAAGACAGGTTTTTTAAACTAAGTTTTATATATTAGTTTATAAAACTATATAGTAGTTTACAACAAATTCAATTAAGATCATGATAAAATTGGCTCACTTCTTGAAGAAAAAATAAAAAAAAATAGGAATACATTTAAAAATAAAAATAAACACTTGAATATGTTTAATTATATAAAATTTAAAGATAACTCTTTGTATAAAGAACAAAGGGGAAAAAAATCAATGAAAATTTTTGCTACTCATGAATTATTTCCTTGTTAAATCTCGGAAATATTTATTCATATAAATGAGTAGGACAAAAAATACAATTTGGAGTAAGAGAGAGGAAAACAGATGGTAGCAGAATTCGGTACTATAATTTTATTTATCTTTTCTGTACTGCTAAGTAAATAATACATGCATTGCTATTAATAAAACTGTTGTTCTATATTTCACTGCTTCACAATAATACAAAAAATTAAGTAGAATTATATCACCGAATTATTCTACTATTACTACCATCCAAATTTTCCTCTCGTTTGTTCCGAAAATGGAAAGCAGCGCAAGATAATAACAGAAAATATAAAATCAAATATTATAGAACATCAAAACTAATACAAATTAATATTACGACAAATACTAGTTAATATTAGTTTGTTTAGAATCGAACGTAATATAACTCAGAGAAAACAGCGACTTTTAGTATCTTATTATCTTAGTATTATTTTATTATTTAGTATGTTACGTATTCGAAAATTATCCAAGATAACGCCAGATTATTCTGTTTTTCTGATGTTTTCGATTATTATGTGTTACTTAGTTCACCATGAGAGATTTACGACAAAGTGGGGTTTCATAATAACTTTTGAATCCTTTACAATGTAGAGGTGTGGAAAATAACTTTAAATCAACTACACACATCAAAGAATTATACAATAAAACATAAACCTAGCTACCACTCGAAGAATTTTTTTAGAAAGCATAGTTCATTACCCGATGAATTTAAATTGACGTAAAATTGTGTCAATTTTATTCGTATTGATTGTAACTGATTTGTTGTTGTGTTTAATAGTTATACATTAAGCGGAGTGCCAACTTTCTACGCTATTTGAGAAAACTTTTTCTAGTGGTAGCTTTTACATTATTTCACTTTCAAATGGAATAAGGAAGTACGTTAACTTCTGTCTTGATTTTCAAATATAGATTAAAAACTCTTAAGTTAGAAAGATGTTACTGAAATCTGCATTAAACATTGTTCTAGAAGAAAGCGTCGCGGAAATTTTAGAAAATATTTTTGACACTTAAATACAAAAAAATATCGTGGAATGGGAATATATAGTAGTGAGGGGAATTAATTATCGACTATGTCAACCTTCATCTATCAAAAGGCACCTCATGATAGATCAAGTTAACACTTTTTATATACTAATGATTTGGTATTTAATATTTGTAGTGGTAGTTACGTAACACTACCTCTTCCAGAATTTTATCTGTGATAGAATTCGATGAACGAATACCACTAGTTGATTCATGCTGTCTATTTATTTATTTATTATTTTCGCTCATTATATATTTTTTTCTTCATAGCATTTCGCTCATTATTTGTTTCCTTCATTTTTGTTTTTGTTTTTTATAGCATTTCACTAATTTTTTTTTCTTCAATATTGCTTATTACCGGGAGACTTTATATACTTCACCGCATTATATTTTTTTCGCTTTATTTTTTCTTTTCTTTGAACAATATATTTTTTAAGCAAATCAACTGTTTAATGTGAACCATCCATCTATGTTGGCAAGTTCTTATCACGTCCAGAGGTCACCATTATGGTATAATTAGTTGATTAACCATATTAGATCTTCCAAAGGTTTTGGATTTGTAATCGTTTAGATGGCGTATTCGATCGCGAAGGCCTTGGAGCTCTAAACTCGCCTTCGGATCTGCCGAAGCAATAACAATAACTAACGGAGGAAAAATAGTGATTTTGGCGAATAAGCAACATAACGCTTACCAACAGTTCTGAATAAGACAAAAAAAAGAAGTCGGAAACTACCTAGAATTGAGTAACGTTAAAAAGAAATAAAGCAATTATTACGCATGCGCCGCATGGTTGAGAGGACTTGACAGGTTTTGTTTTTTGAGACCGGTCAAGTAACTTACTTTTCATTTATTTATTTATAGTCTTTTTAAAGAATTCGAGTTACCCACGTATACTCGATGATTGATTTCATTTGAAATCAGAGTAAAACCTTGTTGTTATTTTCTCCAATATAATGCATTGAGTATTTATTATTATGATTTCTTTATACAAGAAATATTGAGAATATGGTGTTTAATATTGTTTGACTATGGCTAATAAAGAAAAAACTGATTCAACGTGGTGGCTTTTATTTTTTGTTGTAACTGTGCTAGCTGCCGTTACACGCCTTTATAAAATTGAAGAGCCGGATCATGTTTGGTATTGCGTTTTACTATTATTTAAATCTTGTAGAAATCTATATTCTTATTTTTTTATGTATTATAATGCATGTAGTTATTCATCCTCGAAGGAGTAATGAGAAAATGCCGGTGTGCAAGCCATATCCTATTTGATTATTTTATCAATTTAGGAAATACTGCAATATTTTCTATTTACAGATCACTGCCTGTTGCTGCCAAAACTTGGCGATTTTTTTACGTATACACCGATACGAATATCTTCCCAGATTCTATTTCACTCTTTCACTTTAATTCTATTTGAAATGTATTCTTTCGATTAGTTATTGCAATGTGCTAAATATGCCATGGAGGGGAAAAAATAATTCTTGTCAGAGATGCAGGATGTGGGCAATATGTATAGTTTGTGTATAGAAGGAACTTCTCTTCGCACAAAGACTAAGGCTGTCTGCTGCTATGGAAACAAAAAATAGTTGCATTTCAAAGAGCGTAGCTTCTCTCTCTCCTGATGAACAAATAAATCTCTTAAATATTAAAATTACATCCTTACTGTAAATAATTAAATCTCATAACCATATTCACCGCCAATATTCCAGACAAATGTCAATGTAGTTTTTTCCATAGCGAGACAGTATAGTTTTGTTCTCAATACCCATTTGGAATCCATGTAGTAAACTTTAAGTTTTAGAAGAAATTCTGTTAAAAAAAATTTGCCATATGACCTGCCAGTAACCTGCATGAAACTGAAAATCAGGGAACTTGAGGAATCAGAAATAGACCAGCTTGCAAGGTACAACATAATTCATATCCACCTCGAGGAAAACCGGAAGTTTTTTTCAGTACAGAAACTTAAAAAAAAAACTCAATGTTAGTTGTTTCAAACTGAAGCTGATATGAAAACTGTCCCTGCATTTCAATGTTTCGTTGTTTTTTTTACAATCTTACCTTTAATGACATTTATAGCTTTCAGTTTCTCTGAAACCCGAGAGTGAATGTAATGTGACCTGTCTTACAATTTCTTCAAATGTGTGTTAATTTAATAGTAGATTTGTTCAGAGATTTTGGTTTGGATTGTTCCTTGGTTATTTTTTTATTTTTTATTTTTGTCTAATTTGTTATAAAACCTCAGATAATAGACTTTCTAGTTTTCTGTTCAGTTTTAATGGTAATTTTTCTTTAATTTTAAAAAGATTGAAATAAATTTTTTGCTGTGTTGCAAATTTAATGCAATTTGAATTAAATGTTTCATTAGTTATGACAAAGATTTTAAGTTTCTTAAAGGTATAACCAGGAATTTTAGTTTTTGATTCTTATCCCATCAAGGTAAGATTTTTGATGTCAAGACTGGTTTTTGACATGATAAATATCAAAAACCTAATTGTACATTACACAAAATCGTTATTATGTGTGAAAATGTTTATATTTTTAATCATTAAATATTAGTAATTTTAAACATTCTTGCAAGTTTAAAAAAAGCTTTTGCGCCTTGGATAAACAATTCGGGTAGAATTAAAAAAAAAAAGTTGAGAGACTCTAGTATGAAAATGACTTTAAAATTATTTGTTTCTGCTTATAAAAACTTACATTTTTAATGAAAGTTTGTTAACATTATGTATCTCTATGAAAAGTTAAGAAAAGCTGTTAGCTGTAAAAATTTTATACTTTTAATTCTGTATGTATATTAATTTATTTGTGTATTTACAGCTGGGATGAAACTCATTTTGGAAAGATGGGTAGTTGGTACATCAATCGTACTTTTTTCTTTGATGTTCATCCTCCTCTGGGAAAAGTAAGTTCTGTTTCATATTTTATATCATAAATTTGTTAATAACGCTAATATTTTTTTTAACTTTAGAACTTGTAACATATAATTCTTTAATTGTGATTTTCTTAATTCATTATAAACTATTTTTAACTATCTAGTATTATCATATTTTTTTTTTATGTATAATTAGTATGATGATGCATAATAATTTTTTTTATTCTATAATAAATTTTTTCTTTAATAATTTTTTTATATAATATTTTTTTACTCTGTTTCAGCAAATTAATTATATGTTTTTAAACCTTTATGTACTTCTCAGAATCAGAAATTAATAACAACTTTTATAAGTGAAATTCTATGGTTGGATATTTTAAATTAATTTTTTGAAGATTATTTAGTCTTGCTTGTACTAATATTTTTAATAGTACTACTTTTTTTTTACAATATGATATTATATTTTTCTGTAGATGTTGATTGGTCTATCAGGTAAACTTACTGGCTACAATGGAACATTTGCATTTAACAAACCTGGAGATAAATACCAAGATCACAATTACATTGGAATGAGGCTTGTAAGTTATTTAAATTATTCTTCAAAAAGCTTGTTTAAATTTATCATATCATAATAAATACGATATTAATAACCGCTGTTGAAGTTTGACCCATGTCTGCCCCTGAATGTAACAAAGAAATAATTTGAATTTTTTTCTATTCAAAAGATAAAAAGTTAAAATTTTAAATCTCACATTTGAGTCATCAGTTTATAAGTACAATAGAACCTCGATTAACTAAGCTTTGATTAACCAAGGTTTCTGTTAACAGAGCCAATAACAAAGTCTTTTTTTTCTGAATGAATCCTGAAAGAGACCACACTTTTTAGTTCGTCGCCCAGCTCTACTGCCCTTGAATACACTCAATTTCCGAGAAATATTTCACCCTGAGAAGTCAACAGCAGCGAACAAAGCTTTGTTTCCAGTAGCCCTATTGAACACCAGGTGCAATGTGTTTTTGGACTGTATTTTTGTAACAAGTTAATGCATATTAAATCTTTAAAATTACAATAATTTCTTGAGATTTGTGTTATTTTTGAAAATGCATCTCTTAGTTTAATTTTAAAAATAGTTAAAAACATTTCTATTTGCTTTTTGAAACTTACTATTAGTATTGATTTTCATTTTAAATTTGTTGAGCTGTGAAACAGAACTTTATATATGTTCATTTTTATCATTTAAAAAATGTTCTGTTGTTTTTTATTTCAAGAGATGTTAAATTTGCGACCAAGGCAGTTTTTATATACAGTTTCTATTAACCGAGATATCCGAGGTGGTCCCAATAAGCTCTGATAATAGGGGCTCCACTGAACTCAAATTACACAGATTCCATCAATTTTGAGATTTTTTTCATTGCGATTCAGGAATTTTTGCTACAGAACTCCACATTGTTTTAAACATCTTATCATAAGAAATATGATATTATTATGATGAACGAATTTTGAAGTAGAGTTATTACCATTTTTTAAGTACTTTATTTATGTTGATTTCCTCATTAATCTAAGTGAATTTTCTTTCATGTTTCCGGCAGCTGTTATCAAATTTTCTTGTGATACTTAAAATGCTAGTATTTTTAATATGATATCATTACTACTTGCGAGTTTCAAATCACACATTTAAATTATTACTTTTGATCTGTTTTATTTGTGCTAATTTATCTTAATCCAATTTTTTTATTGTTTTCTCTGAAGTTATTTTTGCATATTTTCACATGGTTTTGAAAATCCTCATATTTTTAATACATATAAGGTCTCTAGAGCCGCTGTTTTGAATGTGCGCTTAATTTGTATTGATTTGATCGCAATCTAAATGATTTTTTAAAATTGTTTTTTCGGTAGTTATTGCTAAGCTTTTGAAAATCCCAATATTTTTAATACATAAATTACGTCACTTGACTTGCCCATTAAATGTGTGCTTTATTTGTACTGATTTTCATGCAAATTGGAAGAATTTTTTAATAGCTTTTCTGGTAGTTATTGCTATGCTTTTCCACATGGTTTTGTAAATCCAGCTATTTTTAGTACTCACTCTTATTACTATGGCACTTGAATTATGTTTTTATGTTTGACACATCGCTAAGTAATTTATTTGTGACGATTTCATCCCAAATCTATAGAATTTTTTAATCAAATTTTTGGTAATTAGTTTTTTTGTATGGGTATAAAAATAATACTATATTTTTTATTGCTCACATGTATTCAATTGCTCATTTTATTTATCTCTTATGATGTGCTTTGTTTGTGCTAATTTCATCCTCAATCCAAACTTAATTTCAATCGTCTTTTGGCAGTTGTTACTTTTTTCATGTATTCAAGATCCAAATATTCCAAAAAAAAATGGAGTAATAATTTGGTTATTAACTATTCATTGTTTTTAACTTTTGTGCTAAACGTTCAATTATCATTTATGTAAATTATCTGCTGATAGCATAATGGTATACTAAGTTTTAATTAGGATATGCAAATATTTTGAATTACTTATATGCACTTATGAGGTAATTTTGGGATTGAATTCCAAAACTGTGATTCTAATTTTATTAGTAGTCACTTTTAATTCACGGTTTTTATTTATTACTCATAAAAGTAAATTGCCAATGTTTTATTAATTATCAATTTCTGCAAGGTAATTGTGATTGTATTATCTCATTGCAGTTTTTGATACAGACTTAAGTTTTCTGATCTGGTTAGAAGCATGAGTATTTTTTTTGTGAATAAGCATTTTGAAATTGTTAAAAGATTGGATATTATAAATTACTATCTAAGACAAATGTTTAAAAGTATTTTATTATGTTTTAAAATATGTAACAGCTTAAAACATTTTTATAAAGATAATTTTTAAAAATGAAAGCTTATTATCATTATATCTAAAAGCTTTTAGGATAAATATTCTAACTCAAACTAACAATTCATTTCTTCTTTTTTTTTAAAGAATTAAATGATATTGTTTATACTTTAAAATATTAAAAAGAGATTAAGTAATATTTCAGATGATTATAAACACAAGAAACTATGATACAATTGAAACTTAGCAAGTACACACTATAATTTAAAAGTGACATTGGAAAAACAATTTGAAGTAAAAAGGTCACCTTTGGAAAATTTTGATTTCTCCTAGTTGTTCCCCATGTCTTTCATAAATATATGGTTTTTGTAAATTGCTTACATATTATTAAATTTTTATTCTCAAATTTGTATCCATGAATGTCGTTGGTAGGAATGAGACAGTGGATATATGTTCCCTTCAATAATTAGAAATATCTAAAAATCCTTCTCAATATTTTAAACAGATAAAGAAAATTTTCTTGAATCATTATCAATTTAAATGAATTAAATTTAAAAACTTAAAAGAGATAAAAATAATTATTTATAATTTTCCTGCATTTAACACATCTAAGAAATATTTTTTTTTCTTTTGTGTGAAATTTAGAGAATTTTTGTGAGTGTGTAATTTAATTTTACCTTCCTCAAAAATTGATTTCCTGTGACACTTATACTTGTATGAGTGTGCATTTTTTCTTCTTAAATGTTTATACTTATTGTATCAACTTTTAAGTCTATTAATTTATTTCTTTTCTTAAATATTTATATCATTATTTGATATTTTATGTTGACCCATATTCGTCGTTTTCTTTATGGTTGTTTTTTACAGGAATTTCTGATCCTAAATATGCATATTGATTACATTAATATGTATAACGATATGTGTGATTAATTATTTTAATTTAACATTTAAAAAAATTGTTATTGCAGTTTTGTGTAACACTTGGAATGGCTATAGTTCCATTTTGCTTTTTGATTGTGTGGGAACTGACTCGTTCTCTATGTGCTTCCACTCTGTCTGGCTTCTTCGTAATTTTTGGTAAGTTAAAATAACATGTTATTAGGAGATTTATTCTTATGACTGTTCTAAATATTGTTAATAGCTTATTTAAACCATTGAGTGATTGAAAAAAATAAACTAATTTAAACAAATTTTTATATTTTTTGCAAATTATAATTAGTTTACTTTATCTGTGAATATATTATAGTCATGGTTTATTGGAAATACTAACATACATATAAGCACAAGTGCAGAAAATTCTCAGAGTGTGGCCCTAGCTAGATCTCCGGGAGTTTAAAATGAGAAAAAGCTTATTGCCAAATATTTTATTAATATACATATAGCACACGGACAAACAAACATAAGTTTAATTAATTAGGAATAGGAGAAATAAAGAAGGTCCATTCGGTTCAAAGTCTGAGCATCCACTGTCTAGTATGTGGTGGCGCTGTGGTAGCTTGACGATGTCGTTGCTACAAGAGCCTAATATTTCCTCAGAACAAAGATTTTTTTTAGTTCAAAATTTCTCTAAAAATTTTAGTGTTTTTTTTTCTTCTTATAAGTATTGTAATTCTATCAAAATATTTTTCGTAAGTAAAGTTTGTACATTGTTCAAAGTTTTTGATAATAAAAAATAAAAAAAATAATTTAATTTTACACAGTACAATAACAAGCATAAGTGTTAAGAATAATAGAAATCAAAATATATCAAAATAGTGATGTTTTATAACAAGAAAAATCTTGCGAAGCAACACATTTTTGAACTATAATATTGAAATTTTTTGAACCTAAATTTCCCCCAAAACCTTGTTTGCAAGATCAGACATATACTGCTCCTCTGCATAGAGTAATAACAAAAAATATTGAGAATTGAAAAAAAAAACTTTTTTATAAGTTAAAAGTAGACAATTATTGACGAGCTTTATTTATTTTACTTAATATAAAAAATCTGCCCAAATTGAGGCATTAAAGAATTAAAATCAATATTTAAATTGATAATAATTAACATTTCATAGTTGTTACCTGTAATGTAAACTTCATAGTTATAATATTAGTAAATAATTAGATCTTAAAGTATTAAGAGGTCCATGTTTCTAGAAAAACCAATTAATAGTTTCAATAAATTTTGGCTTTTTTTTTTTGCATGATGCATAATATAAATCATAATTATAGTAGTATTTAATGCAAGTATTGTATATGATTTAATATCTAATAAAATCCTCAATGGCAAAAGAGATATGTGTCCCAGGTTTTTCATTGTTTTTGTCAGATCGACACTTTTTAATGGGTTCTTCGTGTGTGGTGTCAAAAACTTATTTTTGACGTCAAAAACCAAACCCTGTTTTAAATGGATCAGTCACAAATTAATTTTTATCAAGTAATACATTTGTTACTTAAATCCATAGTGACTAACTAATGTCTTTCATATTTATATAAATAGTTTTGTTATAAATATAGTATCATATTTTTAATTAATATTTCATTAATTCAAGTTAATTTGTACATTTTTCAAACACTATATTTTTATTCTATTATTTCAATTAGTGAGTTTTTATTTGCTATTCTGTTTCTATTTGTATATAATATAGACTCCTGTTAAGAAATTTATAAAATGTTTTGTTGATTTGTTTGTTATTTCTTTTAAAAAAAAAATTATAGTATCGGTACAAAATAGTGAAATGGAATCACATTTAGTTCTGTTTTATCTCATATTATTCTGACATAAGTTTGTTTTGCATTTTTCAGACGTTGGAATGATCACCTTATCGCAATATATTCTCCTTGATCCTATTCTCATGTTTTTCATTATTGGTTCTGTATTAGGAATGGTTAAATTTGCATCACAGAGTCACAGGTATTAACTTTCTTTTTATGTTACATGTATTTTTTTCTCATGAATTTTTGTTTTATTTTACATTAATAGTCTTAACTTAAAATTATGACCAAGACTTGCATTTTGATGAAATTTGCATTTTTGGATTATTTTTTTCTGGCATTTTTCGCATTATGGAGTATATATATCTTTTCTTTTTATCTTCTTACTGTTTTTTTATAATTATTTTTATAAGTTTTCGGTAATTTTTATTCCATTCTCTGCAAGATTTTTTTATACTTTTACATTTATCTTGTGAGTCACAATACACCCTGTAACCAAGTTTTCTCATTATGTTATTGATATAAAATTTTTAGTAGTAGTTCTTTGTTACTGCTTTCCCATCTTTTCTGATTTGTATTATTTAGAACATGAAAGTCTTCTAGGGGAAAAAATTATTGTTGTCCACTATTGAAAGGAGCTGTGAGTAGGCAACATTATAATCTCAAAGAGGAAAACATTGTTTTAATATTTTTACTTGAATAATAGGGCATTTTTAGGGAATTTTCTTAGCTTAAATTTTTTGAGATTTTTTACGCAGGGAAAAAAATCTATCGTTTTACTTGGGTATATAGAGATTTTTTTAGGTCATCAATATGCAGGCTCTAATTATCTTCTCCCAAAATATATACAACAACATTTCTCTATTTTTTGTTCTNGCTTCTAATCGCTTTCTAAACTATAATAACAGGGCCTTCCATATTCGACGGGTAAGGAAGGGGGAATGAAATTCTCCTGGAAGGAAAAACGGATTAATACCCCAAGGAACCGTGATTGTATTATCTCATTACAGTTTTTGATACAGACTTAAGTTTTCTGATCTGGTTAGAAGCATGAGTTTTTTTTTTTTATGAATAAGCATTTTGAAGTTGTAAAAAGATTGGAAATTATAAATTACTATCTAAGACAAATGTTAAAAAGTATTTTATTATGTTTTAAAATATGTAACAGCTTAAAACATTTTTATGAAGATAATTTTTAAAAATGAAAGCTTATTATCATTATATCTAAAATCTTTTAGGATAAATATTCTAAATCAAACTAACAATTCATTTCTTCTTTTTTTTTTAAATAATTAAGTAATATTGTTTATACTTTAAAATATTAAAAAGAGTTTAAGTAATATTTCAGATGATTACAAACACAAGTAACTATGATATGATTGAAACTATTTTGATTTCTCCTTATTGTTCCCCATTTCTTTCATAAATATATGGTTTTAGTAAATTGCTTACATATTATTAAATTTTTATTCTCAAATTTGTATCCATGGATGTCGTTGGTAGGAATGAGACAGTGGATATATGTTCCCTTCAATAATTAGAAATATCTAAAAATCCTTCTCAATATTTTAAACAGATAAAGAAAATTTTCTTGAATCATTATCAATTTAAATGAATTAAATTTAAAAACTTAAAAGAGATAAAAATAATTATTTATAATTTTCCTGCATTTAACACATCTAAGAAATATTTTTTTTTCTTTTGTGTGAAATTTAGAGAATTTTTGTGAGTGTGTAATTTAATTTTACCTTCCTCAAAAATTGATTTCCTGTGACACTTATACTTGTATGAGTGTGCATTTTTTCTTCTTAAATGTTTATACTTATTGTATCAACTTTTAAGTCTATTAATTTATTTCTTTTCTTAAATATTTATATCATTATTTGATATTTTATGTTGACCCATATTCGTCGTTTTCTTTATGGTTGTTTTTTACAGGAATTTCTGATCCTAAATATGCATATTGATTACATTAATATGTATAACGATATGTGTGATTAATTATTTTAATTTAACATTTAAAAAAATTGTTATTGCAGTTTTGTGTAACACTTGGAATGGCTATAGTTCCATTTTGCTTTTTGATTGTGTGGGAACTGACTCGTTCTCTATGTGCTTCCACTCTGTCTGGCTTCTTCGTAATTTTTGGTAAGTTAAAATAACATGTTATTAGGAGATTTATTGTAATGACTGCTCTAAATATTGTTAATAGCTTATTTAAACCATTGAGTGATTAAAAAAAATAAACTAATTTAAACAAATATTTATAATTTATGTAAATTATAATTAGTTTACTTTATCTGTGAATATATTATAGTCATGATTTATTGGAAAGACTAACATATATATAAGCACAAGTGCAGAAAATTCTCAGAGTGTGGCCCTAGCTAGATCTCGGGGAGTTTAAAATTGAGGAAAAGCTTAGTGCCAAATATTTTATTAACTTACATATAGCACACGAACAAACAAACATAAGTTTAATTAATTAAGAATAGGAGAAATGAAGAAGAAGGTTCATTCGGTTCAAAGTCTGAGCATCCACTGTCTAGTATGTGGTGGCGCTGTGGTAGCTTGACGATGTCGTGTTACAAGAGCCTAATATTTCCTCAGAACAAAGATTTTTTTTAGATCAAAATTTCTCTAGAAATTTTAGTGTTTTTTTTTCTTCTTATGAGTATTGTATTTTATCAAAATATTTTTGGTAAGTAAAGTTTGTACATTGTTCAAAGTTTTTGATAATAAAAAAAACAAATTAATTTAATTTTACACAGTTCAATAACAAGCATATGTGTTAAGAATAATAGAAATCAAAATATATCAAAATAGTAATGTTTTATAACAAGAAAAATTTTGCAAAGCAGCACATTTTTGAACAATAATATTGAAATTTTTTGAACCAAACATTTTCCCCAGGGCTGCCTAAATTTCCTCCAAAACCTTGTTTGCACGATCAGACATATACTGCTCCTCTGCATAGAGTAATAACAACAAATATTGGGAATTGGAAAAAAAAAACTTTTTTGTAAGTTAAAAGTAGACAATTATTGACGAGCTTTTTTTATTTTACTTAATATAAAAAAATCTACCCAAATTGTGACTTAAAGAATTAAAATCAATATTTAAATTGATAATAATGAACTTTTCATAGTTATTACCTGTAATGTAAACTGCATAGTTATAATATTAGTAAATAATTAAATCTTAAAGTATTAAGAGGGCCTGTTTCTAGAAAAACCAATTAATAGTTTCAATAATTTTGGGCTATTTTTTTTATATGATGCTTAATATAAATAATAATTATAGTAGTATTTAATGCAAGTATTGTGTATGATTTAATATATAATAAGATCCTTAATGGCAAAAAAGATACATGCTCCAGGTTTTTCACTGTTTTTGTCAGATTGACACTTTTTAATGGGTCCTTCGTGTGTAATGTCAAAAACGAGATTTTGACGTCAAAAACCGAACCCTGTTATAAATTGATCAGTCACAAATGAATTTTTATCAAGTTATACGTTGGTTACTTAAATCCATACTGACCAACTAATGTCTTTCAGATATATGTAAATAGTTTTGTTTTAAATATAGTAGCATATTCTTAATTAAAGTATTGTATCTAATATTTCATTAATTCAAGTTAATTTGTACATTTTTCAAGCACTATGTTTTTATTCTATTATTTCAATTAGTGAGTTTTTATTTGCTATACTATTTCTATTTGTGATATGATATAGGCTCCTGTTGAGAAATTTATAACCATTTTTGTTAATTTTTTTTAAATATTATAGTATCTGCACAAAATAGTGAAATGGAATCACATTTAGTTCTCTTTTATCTTATATTATTCTGACAAAACTTCATTTTCCATTTTTCAGATGTTGGAATGATCACTTTATCGCAATATATTCTCCTTGATCCTATTCTCATGTTTTTCATTATTGGTTCTGTATTAGGAATGGTTAAATTTGCGTCACAGAGTCACAGGTATTAGCTTTCTTTTTATGTTATGTGTATTTTTTTTCTCATATTTTTGTTTGAATTCTACATTAATAGTCTTAACTTAAAATTATAACCAAGACTAGGAATTTGATGACATTTGCATTTTTCGACTATTTTTTTATCTTTTTCTGGCATTGGAGTGTTCTTTATTATTATTATTTTTAAAATCTTTTTACGTTTTTTTTATTATTATTATTTTTATAAGCTTTGGGTCATTTAATTCCATTCACTGCAAGATTTTTCTTATAATTTTACATTTTATCTTGTGAGTCACAATACAGCATGCAACCATGTTTTCTCGTTATATTATTGATATAAAATTTTTAGCAGTAGTTCTTTGATACTGCTTTCCCATCTTTTTTAATTATTTAGAGCATTACAATTTTCTAGGAAATTTTTTACTTTAAATTTATTGCGATTTTTTAGGCAGGAAAAAAAATCTATTGTTTTCCCTGGCATACAGAGATTTCTTAGGTCATAAATATCCAGGCTTTAATTATTTCCCCCAAAAGTATATATAGCAACTCTTCCCTTTTTTTTTTCTTTTGTTCTTAAATTCCTTTAAGTAGATGCAGCTTGGGGGATGTCAAGTGAAGCCTTGAGTGATCAGTTTGCAACTTCCTACCACAAACTAAACATTTATTCAAAAAGAATCTACAGAACACAATTAAGGAGTTTTATAACTGTTTTTTTAAATTCATTATGGATTGAATGGAAAAAGTATCTTACAAACAAAGGAAATTATGTATAATCATAGATTTTAAATGTTAAACAATTAATGAAATAAGTTGATAATTGAAATAGCTATATTGTCTTTAATTAAGAAAAACATTGCTTTGTATCTTTCTCATTTATTAGTTTGAGCTTAAAATTTTAGTGTAATCTTGACTTTAAAAATACACATAATGATATTTATGTTTGTTCTTTAACTGATAATATAAAGAATAAATAACTTTATTTATCATATCAAATTATCATTATGATATTTTTTTCTAGAAAATTTTACAATGCTGTTTCTCTTTACAGAATGATGTCTCATTAAAACAAGTGTTTTTAAAATTTATTCAATATTTAAATTTTTATTATTAAGAAAACACTAATTATTAAAATTTAAGTAAGAATTAAAAAGTATGATATTTTTAGTTGTGTAATTATTTGTATAAATTTTAGAACATTTCAAATTTATATTTTCCAATAACCTTTACGGGTAATGCTGATAAAGATGTCTAAAGTTATTTTGTCATAAACTGAAATATATTATTGAACTTATAAATGGTTTATCTTAGGATTAATTTATTTATTTATTGGGTTTTTGTTATTTATTATATTTGGTTAAAAGACAAAGTAAAATATAAAAAAAATTACAAATACATTCAACAAAATACAAAAAATATTATATTCATTATCTTTCCTGTTAAGTCCTTCTATGAGAAAAGGTCATTGGAGAAATTTCCATTCCAAACTCAGTTTCACTTCTATTGGTATTTTAAAGTTTAGTAGATAAGTCACATAGCTTCAAATGCTAAAAATTTTTTTTCAGAATATGGAAATGCAAACAAATGTTTATAACATTTCTTCCCCTGCCATAATTTGTTTGCATTTTCATAATGTGAAACTTTTTTCCTTTCATTTAAGATTTCAAGGTTTTCTCTAGGTTTCTGTGAACTCACCTTTTCTATACTTTAAATTTTAAAAATTTCATGTTGGGGAAAAGAGAAATCGCCATGCAGGGTTTCTTCCATGGTATATCATCCTTTTAACTGTTAGGCTACAAAATTTAATCGATATTTCTACATGCATTATTTTGCCTTCATCATTTTAATATAGTTCGCATTACTATATATGTTGCTATTATGGTAGTCTTAATAAGATATTGGTTTTTTGTAGAAACTTCAGCCCATCTTGGTGGTTTTGGCTATCATGGACAGGAGTTTTTATGGCTTGTTCAATAAGGTAAATGATTGTTCATTTGTAATTTATTTGTTTTTTGCTAACGAAATAAAGTTAAAGGGCACACATAATCTTGATACTTGAACTTTTTTTTTATCAAATACTTATTTGTATTTATCTGTATTTATTGTTAAAATTTATTCTTGACATTATGCTAAATTAATTACACACATTTCATAATTGTGTAATTAATTTAGCAATATATATATATCTTTTGTAGAAAAATATGAATAATTTTTCAATTTTTTTTTTCTTTTCAATTTTGATTTGTAGTGTGAAGTTTGTTGGGTTGTTTGTGGTTCTTCTAGTTGGCATTCATACTCTTTATGATTTATGGAACATACTTGGAAATTTGAACACTCCTATCGTAAGTATCATTCTTAACAGTTTCAATCGTATCTTTCTGGTAGAAAAAATATGGAATCAATTCTTAGTTCATAAGATAATGTATTGACAAAATCTTAAATAAGACAGGAATAAAAATATGTAGAACCAAGAATAAAGTTAAGTTACTTTTTTTTTAAAAAGTGCCTAGTTTTTAACTTTAAATTTGTGTTGAAATTTTTTTTTTTTTTTTGTGGCTAAAATGTTTGCTAAATAAAATGGAAATAACCAGGCTAGCATGTTGATGAACCCTATAGCAAAATTCATTTAGTTTTTGCTCAACAAACCTCACTAGCACTTACATCTTTCTTCAAGATATTTTTAATGGTAATAAATATGTATGTAAGCATTATAGTATGTAAGCAATTTATATGTATGTAAGCAATATGTAAGGTATATGTATGTAAGCAATTTATAATAATAAAAGTGTCTTATAATTATAAAAAAAATCCTGCATTTGTAGATTAAAACTGTGTATTTATGTGATTAAACTGTTTGACTAAAACTGTGTTTATATATTTTTTAAATTGTATTACTTACATCTAAATTTTTATTGAAAGTAATTTTTCTTGCTGAAAAATTCGCAAAATTACTCAATAGGTGAAAAATATAACTATAAAATTTGAACATAATGCAAAGTATTTTTACTGATCATTTGAAGCATAGTAAACGATTGGCTTTTGTATTACCTTTGTTTACTAGTTTTGAAGTTAAACTTTTTTCAGAATTTTATTCATGAAAATTCAAAAAGTGTACAACATAATAGCAATCAGAGTTGAATGCAGCAGAGGGTCAGAAGCACTTTTTACCCCTCAGGTATGCAAGCAAAGCAACCTTTTGAAAAAAACAATTCTGGGACGCCTTTTGAAAAATTTTGCTAAGAAAATTTTGTTTCCCAAAATGTTAGGCCAAAATAAAAATGCATTTTTTTTTCTCAAATGAAAATTTTAGTGCAAGAACCTAATGATGTCCTGCATGAATGTGTCAAGTTGTTGTGATTCTGCTTTTTGCTGAACCAAAACTATCAAATGACCTTAAAATGAAAAATAATGCCCTTAAAAATATTAGAACACATGTTTTAAATTAATTTTTTTTTAAAATTATAAATTTTATTTTTTATTTAGAAATTTAATAAATTTAAGGTAAAAAAATGAGTTTCTAATGTATGAATAAAATAAAATATTAATAAATGTCTTAAAATATAATTAAATTTTTTTTTAATCTTTAGTTACAATCTTTAAGAATATCAGAAAGATTGTCTGTTGTTCAAAGCCAAATTATTATATTTTGGAAAACTTCATCATCCCTTGTTGTTGAAAGATATTTAAAATAACCAAATGCAATGGGAAATTTTTATATATTTATGAAGAAAAAATTTCATTCTTGAGTAAAATTCACTTAAAAGGAAAATATTAACGAAAATTTATAAAATAATTTTAAAAATAAATAAATTACAAAAAATAAATAAATAAATAATTCACGAGTAAAATCTCTTTAAATGAAAATATTAACAAAAATATATAAAATAATTTTAAAAATAAATTACAAAAAGATAAATAAATAAAATAAACATGAATAATGCCTTATTAAGGAAAAAAAAAACCTAAAATGCCTTTTTTTATTACTTTAATTTATTAATGTGGATAAATATAAATACTAATTATCAATTAATTGTAGGAAAAATCTGGCATTTAACAAAATACTATTTTGTTTAAAATAGTATTTAGAAAGAAGCTGAAATATTTTCTTACTTAGTGAAAAACACACATAGTTATTTTATTCTGGGATGTTGTGATTTTTGTCTCATATGTTAGATCCTTTTGTTTGTTTTAGATTCATAATTTCATCTGGTTATCTTTAAATAATTTGCTGTTAGTTTATCACTTCATAAATTATGTTCAAAGTAAAGAATAAAATGTAAATGTTTTTTTTATCAGTTTGTACAGTTTAATCTATGCTGTTACTAATGCAATACAACTTTATACAAGTATATTTCTATGATACTTAAATTGTTTTAATTTTATCCACTTTAATCTTATTTGTTTCTTTTTTAATTTTTTTGTGTGTTTATGTTGTAGCATTTTAATTAAAATGCTTAAATTTTAATTTAGACTCAAGTGATTAAACATTTCACAGCACGAGCAGTCTGTCTCATTTTGCTCCCTGCCATTTTGTATGTCACCTTCTTTTATATTCACTTGAAGACACTATACAAAAGGTATGTTGACATTCCATTAATGATATTTAACCTATTAACCCTCCAAGCATTGAGCTCTTGACAAATTTTGTTGAACTTTATCTGTTATAGGGCATAATTAATAATTGCCACTGGAACGAACTATAACAATTCAAAAATGCCTCCTCATGCATTTTATGATTATTTTTTAATAAATATGTAATTGTCATATTATTCTGAAAATGATTTTATATCAACTTGTTTCTTAAAACTTTTCTTAAATTTAGAAATCGACCTTATAATACTTACCATATTTTGAAAAATCTTTCAAAAGAAATGCTTTACACTATTAATATAAACATTTTTTTAATCACCTGAACATTTTAATTTTTTAAAAATTGACCAATAATTTAAAAAAGTGGAGACTGTTATGAAGGCTTTAACTGACCAGTAATTAAGTTTCCTAATTTTGCCTCATGTCTGTTATGCATTATTTTCTTGAATAATGTTTTGAAGAAAACTAGTTTTAGGGTGTAGAAGAGCCGATAGCTCAAAGTTCAGAAAATACTGGAACTATGTCTCAGAGGGTTAAGATTGTATGTTTTATGTAGAATATTTTTTAAAGATAAGTGTTAATTAACGTTTAATAATTGTTTGAACATAGTTGAATAAATAAGTGCAAAACTTTCACAAGCCATTAGCCACTTATTAAGGTGTGAAAATACTAAAAACTATCATGTAAAAAAGAGTAAAGAAAATCACACATTTTGTGCAGTTATTTTTTCATCAGTATGATTAACAGAAATGTTATTTTGTAGCTCAAATATATATATATATATATGTAGAGAAAACATGGAAAAAAATTACAGAATATAATGAAAAAAGAGAAGAAGTAAATTATTTTAAAAAAATAATAAAAATCCGGTAAAAAGGATATAATCTCTTTATCAGCTCACATGATTATATCAGTAAAAAGGAGTGCTTTCTAATATTGTATCAATAAAGCCAAAGCAAAATATATCAATACAATAGTGTGAGGAGCACTCAAAAATTTTTTTGAAACAAAATGAAACACATTAAGTAATAAATGTAACGTAAAAAACAGAAAGTTAAATAAAGGAAAAAATCAGAACAAAACATAAAACCAAATTTATAAAGCAAATTCAAAGGAACTTAAAAATATTTTCATAATGAGATTGCCAGAGTTCAAAATATGCAATTTGAGGTTAAAAATGTGAATAGAGGGATTTTGCTTTATAGCTCGTTCTTACTGTTATGCTGAAGCACGTTTGATTTGTTAGGTGCCAAGCATTGGGCCGAAAATAGATGTGCACAAGGTAATATTATACTGGATAATTTAAAAAAGTTTATAAATTAATAAGGTTGATATTTAATTATTCAATTTCAATGATTCTCGAAAATTAATTTTTATTGAAGAAAAGAGAGAGAGAGAGAAAGAAACATGAATTACCTGTTTTGCACATATTTTTAGCCTCAGATTTGCCAAAATGGATTTGCACATGAAAAAAATTATATAAATTAACAAAGAAGCTTTTAGTTAGTAAATTTACTTGCAACTAAATGCTTACTTGCAACTCAGTGAATTTATATAGAATTTAATTACTTTAGTCAGGTATGCATTGTTTTATTTATATATATATACCACTTTTATAAGTAAAAAGCGCAAACTAAATGTGATATGACTTTGTTTCATGCATATTACCATTTTAAAGCAATTTTAATTCCTTCTAAGATATTTATCTCATTGGACATTTTTTACATCTAAATGTTTTCTTACCCCAATAATTGATGAAGCTGTATGTTAAACATAATGTTTAGATTGAAAGAGGAGGATGTCTGATGCTTTATATGTTACTTTATACCTAATTTTCTTATTAGGATAAGAAAATTTGTTTTCTAAATTATCGGTGGTAACTTAAAACATGCCTTTAAATTTAAACCACCTTCCCTATTTCAGTATTTTGAAAGAAAAATATTTATTAGCTCTATCAATAATTAAAAAAAGGATTACTGGTCAAAAGTCCTATTAAAATTTTTATTTATTTATTGACATTTATTCATTTTATGTAATGATTGTTTTAACAGAAAAATAAGTTTTCAACATTAATTTCAGTGGCTCTGGCGATGGATTTTTCAGCTCGGCATTTCAATCCCAGTTAGAAGGAAATTCACTTTATCATGCTCATATGCCAAAAGGTAATAGTGTTATTATGCATATTTAATTGAACTTAGTGGCATTTTAATACAGATATAACCAAAAACATCAAAAATAATTTCTTCCAACTTTTGCAATTTTATTTTGCAGAATGCAGGAAACAAAATTCAAATTCTTTAATTGAATAAACATCAGAATAAAAATGTATTGTTTTATAAAACACTATACTTTTTTCTAAATAGATTAATTAGTTTCCTTTTGGCTGTCCTACATTATTTTACTAAGCAAATAAAGGTGTTAAAAAAAAATTTTGACATCAGAAACATAACTTTATGTTGGGTAATATTTGAATAAAAAAATTTATGTTACTTTAACAGAATTTGTTTAGTTTTCTATAATGTTAGTTTACGTGAATAATTGTAATAGTATCTAAGTATAAAATATTGGCAATTATCTACAAATGCTAAATTTTTTAAATACAATACTTGTTTTAGTTTATTTATCTTTTATTTATTATTTTATTTTAATTTTACTTAATTTCCAAAGAATTAATTTACTGCATGAATCCTTTTTGTGATGTAGAATTTCTTAAACTTAATTATCTCTACTCAAAGAGTAACCAACCATATTTAATAAAAAAGGTACGTAAAAATATAAGCTGATTTTTTTTTCTTTGCTGTGAGCTATGTTCAAAAGTAAATTGCAAAATTAAACAGAAAGACTTGTTTTTGATAAATATAAAAGTGAACAAATTAAAATAACAAATTTGAACTATCTGTATTATGTTGTATTTGAGTTTATTTGATATTTGACTACTATATGTGTTTTTAGTTGAATTTAGTTTGCAAAATTAACGCTTTATACATGTGCAGTATTCACTTTTTTTTTTTTTGCATAAATCTAAAGTTTGTTATCTTGTTCTTTACTTTCAAATTCTGCAGCGGCTCTTAATTTGTCTTTTTTCTTTCTTCATCAAAAATTTTAAGATAGTTTTAAATCTGGTTGCCTAGAATCTGCAATTTTTTTACAGTTTTTTAAATTAAAAAGTAAAATTAATACAAATTTAATGTAATGCTCTTATAGATGTCATACTTATTTTTTACTAACAATTGTATTCAGGGTTTCCAAATTTCTGTCTAAATTAGAATTTAATTTAATAATGCTCTCTAATTTTATGTTTTAAAGTTTGATTCTTTTTTTTTATAACTTTGGTTTAAATTTCGTTTTCACACCACTACATTTTCTACACCACTACAACAAAAGTTGATACATTAATCACCATTTTGTTCCAAGTCTTAATGATGGATCTTAAAATGTTGGAAAAATTACCAAAAATTCTGAAAGCTTTTTTTTTTTTAATTGTCTACCACTCTACAAAATACTATAGTAGTTGGAAGCCCTGTGTATTTATTTTATTTCTTTTTTGATAATTGGAATAGCATAGCTGCCAACTCTACTGGATTTTGCCAGATTCTCCTGGTCTACTGGTTTAATAAAAATTCCCCTGGTTTTTGTGTATTTTAGAAAATTCCCTAAAATTGAAAAAGTTTCCTTAAAAGATCCCTATTGAAATAGAATTTTTGCAGAGATTATTGCTTGCTTGAATATTTAAATAAGTGTTACTAATGCATAAAGAAGTGAGCCACATTTATAAAAGTCAGTTGACTATCCTTGATGAATTAAATTCTTATTACTATTCAAAATTAAAAGTAAACATAATATATTACATTTCAAGTTCATTTAGTGTTAATTGTAACTAGAAAATATTGCAGTTTTTTATTTTATTTTGATGGCTAAAAATCTCTAAAATTCTTTATGTGTAAAATATTTAAAACATTTTGTAACAAGTGTCAAGAATTTTATACTATTTCGTAAAATCTACTGGATTTTTCCCTATCAATGTTGGCAGCTATGGAATAGCATTATCATTTACCTCTTATTGCACTTCCATGGGGAAAAAAACTTTTGGTTTATTTTATTTCTAATAATATCTTGCTGAGAATGATTATTAATACTTTTCATGTTTTTTGAAAGAAAAAAAAATATAAACCTTTGTTAAAATTTTTATTAAGGACTTTCAAATTTTTTGTTTACAGATGTAGCCTATGGAGCAATTGTCACTCTAAAAAATCATAGAACAGGTGGTGGCTATCTTCATT